TGGCTTTTGGGTTTTTTTTTTTTTTTTTTTTTGCTTTGCTTTGTTTTCGCTTTTTTGAGACAGGGTCTCACTATGTCATTCAGGCTGGACTTGAACTCACCTTGTGGCCCAGGCTGGCCTTGTACTCTTAGTGATACTTCTGCCTCAGTGTCAGAGTTTTGGCATTTAGTGTTCTATGCCGAATAGGAGCCAGGTGGGAGATGTACTGTCTAGGAGGGCTTAGTGCCGTACGGACAATCTGAATAGTTTCTTAATGTCTCTAAGCAAGGAATTTCTTTACTTTTGCCGTGGGAAAAATATATGCCTATAGGATAAATATACGTATAGATTAAATAAGAAAATGCACATCATAGCATCGAAAAAAAAAGATGACAATATCGATGACATTAATGGTGACTTCAAATGTAGGATCAGCCTGCAGGAAAGGAAATGGAATTTTCCTCTTTCTCCATCTGCCAGCTTGAATTTCCTTAAACCTAAAATTTAGAAACCAAGCAAAAAATAATCAGTCTCAGAAATTCTCTACTCTCTCTGAGTTGGTGGCTGCCAGCAAGACAGAAACAAAATCTTCAAGTGTTACTCATTTGCCATCATACTTCAAAATAAATTACTCAATGGTACCTCAGTGGCCTGAAAAAAATTAATTTATCTTCAAAGCTTGTTCTCAGCCAGGGAGTAGCTGAGTCATCCAGGGAAAATCTGAGTTAATTAGGGAATCAAAGAAATGGAAATCACATTTGAGTTAGGTTGCAACTGAATAAGGAGGACATGATTGTGCTGTTTGTAAAGTTTGCCTGGTGTACCTTATTATGATGTAATAGGAAGCCGTAAGGAGGAGATAATGAAATTCAGAGTAAAGTATTATGCTTTTCCAGAGTGCTTTAGAAAAGCTAAATTTTACTATTTATGATCCGACGTAAACATCATTACGACTAGATTCTTTATTGCCCCAAAAGATATATTTTAGAATCTCCTGCAAAATTAGAGCTGAATTTTATGACTTTCTTTTCATGTGTGTATGCTCCGTCAGCAGATGTTAACCGAAGATGCATGAATTGGAGAAAGTCAGTTTGACATGGCCTTTTTCTAATGCTTGCTGATATATAAATATATCAGTCACCAGAGCTGGAAGGCTAGAAGTAAAGTGCACTATGAAGAAAAATATAAGTCTCTGTAGTTTCCTAAGGTTGAGAAGAACTATGTCCACAAAGCATCACAGTACATGGTAAACTATTTAATACTCCTTTCCCAACTCCATGGCATTAAGGAGTGGCCAAGTTTAACTAGTCAAGAGTAGAGCTGCTTGGGACCATTAATGCTGCTGAGGCTAGACCTGTGTGTTTTCCAAGTGTTCCATGTTTTCAATGCTGTATTTTCCTGTTATTGACCAATTACTCAATTGTGAGTAATCACTGAGTGGTCATTCCCAAAAGGTATTAACCTGACGCCAGGCCAGATCAGGCCCTAGGATTATTCACCGTTTACAGTAACCAGTGACTTCAACAGAAGAGTACATGTGTGCGAGGTGTGTAGTAGAAAGTGCCTATTTAGTTCCTCCCCATCTCTCTTTCTTTCTCCTTTCTTCCTTCCTTCTTTTTCTCTCCTCTTCTTCCTCTTCCCTCCCCTTCTTCTTCACCCTCTTCTTGCTCTTCTTTTGTGATACTGGGGCTTTCACAGTGAGCTACATACCTAGACCTTTTTCAAAATTTTATCTTGAGAAAGCCTTGCTAAATCATTAAAATGCCCAAGGTGGGACCAAATTTGCCATCCTCCTGCCCCGCCCTCTGAGAGTGCTGAGATTATGTGTGTGCCCTAACACATCTAGCTCTTCCCCTATCTTTTTTCTATTATACTTTCTTTGGGACTAAAGATAACAGGGATAGTGGGCCAGAAAGTTAAATGAAAGCCTTGTTTGTAACCATTTGCCTATCTGAAGTTGAACAAGTTATTAATGTTCTATGCACCTAAGATTCCTCATCAGTCTTATTAATGGTTTGACCTTAATAATGTCCAATTTTCTTTCCTATTCTAAAGTGTAATTTTTCTGACCTATGCTCAGAGAAATTATTATTATGCTCATATGTAAGAATTTATAGTGACATTTCTCTGCTGGTCAAGTCTTATTTTTCTTTCTCTGCCTTCAGAGTTATAAGAAAGGGTTATCAGGACTTTGTAAATAGGGGCTTGGAATCTCTACATGAGCTGGGCCCAAGAGCACAGAGTTATGGTAGTGATTGATTCACTACTAGGAGGATGCCAGGGGGAGTTGACACAGATGTGTTCTCTTCTCACAGGTGTACCAAGGCTCTCAGTATCCCACGCCACAGCTTCCTACTGAGGAAGTATACTAGGTGGGAGTGAGAAGATGTGACATTGTCAGAGGCGTTAAAGATGGATTCTCATCGAGTCTTTTTAAGGTAAGGGTAATGATAAAATTCATATATTGAATGTTGAGTATGTGTCAGACATGCCAAGAACTTCAGAAACTGTCACTTAAGCATCACAATCACCCTAAGAGGTAGGAAAAATTATTATTCTCATCTCTATCGTGCTGGTATGTACATGGATTCGCTTATTTGATTTTTAACCACAGCACTATAGAATGTTTACCTTTTTACAAATGAGGAAGCAGCCTCTCAAACAGCATTTGTACAAGTCTTTCCTAGCCAGTAAGCAGTAGAGTTGGGATCTGAATCTAGGTTTTGTGATTCCAGAGAGTGTGTTCTTAACCATAATAATCTGAATGAAAAATTACCTGCAGCACCTCTCCTAACTGATCATGACCCAGAAATAAGGCTATGGCTGTGGTTGAGAAATACTGATGTGCAAGCTTGTTTTCTGTGATTTCTTTTAAGTTGCAGTGAATACAGCTAATTTGAATTAGGCAATTTGAGGAGGAAAAAAAAACTGGTAACACTAGGACACTCATGCCTTGCTGAGCAGCAGCAATTGCTGTTTGGAATAATGACTAGAATAATGATGTTTTCCCCAACTATGTGGTGTGTGACTGGCCCACGATTGATCTTGTGCAGAACACAGGTGATGCACTCAGGTTTGCTGGGCACTCTGTAGCTAATGTAAAATCACAAGAGGATTGCTCCCCAGTGACCCTCATCCTCCAACATCTGGCTAGGAGTCCTGGTCCATGCAGTCAGAATAATTAATACACCTTTGGACTCAGCTCCTAAACATCCTAAATGTTGGGGTGTGGTATTCACATGGACAGAATTAATAATTTCAATATCCAGTGATGCATAAATTTAGATAGGGAAAAAGATGTGACCCAGAAGGCAGGTTGTATAATAAAGGAATCACAAAATGGATTTGTGGAGATGAAAAGGCTGCAAAGGGATTGTCCTACTGAACAAATGTAAGTCTGTAATTGTACCTATGATGAAGACTGATGCCGACATGGGATAGAAGTGACTTATCTAGGAGAAGATTAAATAAGTAAACAAAATATTGATCTAGGGATTGTTCAGTATGAGACGTTGTACTAGACACTGGAAAAATGTGGACAAGAAGCCATGGAGAGCTTCCTGACTGCTTATGGGTTGTGGTGTGACTTGGACAAATGGGTCGCATTTTCAGCAGTGTACATTGGCTAGGAAAAAAGAAGGGGACAGGGTTTAATGCAGCACTTAGTGGAGTCAAGGTGGGGCTCAGGAAAGCCAGTCTCAGAAAGGGACATTTAAATTCAGACAAAATCTTGAATGAGAGTTGGCCAAGTAAGAGAGTTTTGCACATGCAAAAGTAGGCAGAGTCAAGAGCTGTTCTGTGGTCAGGAGGGACAAAGGTCTGATGTTGCCCTGATGGTGGAGGTGGATGTTTGGAAGGTAAGATGAAGGGGAGAGGAAGGACAAAGATGAAATGCGTGAGACAGATGGAGGTGAATTAGAAACAGCTTAGCAATTTTTCTAGGAATACTGGGATTTTGTTCTCATGGGAAGTCACTGAAAGGTTTCAAGCAGGCTCCTTGCTAGGCCAAGTTCACCTGGTGGTAAGATAGCATGGTAAGGCTGAGGGCCAGCTCCGATAATTCGGTAAAGTCCAACATCAGTCATCTTTCAGTGGATTTCATGGGTTACCTGTCCTTATTTGCTTTCCACTGCACTTGTAAACTCTCTGTGTTTGACTGCACCGGTGTGCACAGGACATTCATTTCCCAGGGAGCCAGGCTACTTCAGGTGATAAGAACACAAGGGAAGTACAATTATGAGTGCTTGATTCACATACAGTTGTGGATATTTGCAAATTGGTCTTTTAATCACTGAGTTAGCAGTCTTCAAATGCGTTCTCTTGTTCTTAACGTGGGAGAGATGAGAGTGTGACGTGGCATAACTCAGCGCTGAGTAAAGGCCGGTCAGTTGAGCATGAGCAGCCTCTGAGTGTAGCTTAGGCCTCAGGGCCATGCCCTGGGAGTAATGCATGAGTGTTAGTGATCTAGAATTGAGGATACTAGCCATGTCGGGCTTCTTGTCTAAATGTCTCTGATTAATTTACACATATCCACAGACAGTGAAGTGGGTGTCGCAGCTGCTGATAGATAAGGCAGTTTAATACTGACCTCAGGATTAGGGGGAGGCTGTTATTCACCATCCAACTCTTCTTTTGACAATATTTTATAACTTGGACTTTTTCTTCCCTGATTGCTTTTGGTAATCTGTAGTCCACCGTGACATTTTCAAAGAATGTAGGGCGTTGGCACCTATATTAGTTAAGGTAATATAAGCTTTTGTAACAGATTCATGGAGTCCCTCAATCTTGGTCTGGAAGCTTACTAGAATCTTACAAAATTCTCAGCCTACCTTAAAATGTTGAGGGATGGTGAGTAGATTTAGTTGTGTAGAGATATAAGGACAGCTGTCCTTATTGAAAAGTGCTCATCTTGATTAATTATTAATGACTTACCACATGTACCTATTTTATACAAAGTGGTCTTTTAGGTAAAATATAAAACTGGAGATGAACCAGGGAAAACCCTGAGCTGGGGGAACCAAAGGGAGACAATGCAAGACAGATGATCTGCTGCTAAAATATGAATATATTTTTATTTCTTTTCCATCAGATAAGGCTCAGTAACTTATAAAAATGTTTAGCAACACTCATAAAAGAAAAGAAAATTTGGCTGAACCTCTGTTCCAATATATAGTATATGAGATTTTGAGAAGTTATTTTTTATTTAGTTAGAGTTAAAAGATGATATGTAGGTAAGGCAATGATTCACTGTACCCAGAGACCACAGACAATTCTGTTTGCTTTTTCTGATCTTAAGTGGATTCAGTCCACATAGTTAAATTATATATTCAATAAACCTGATACTTGACTCCTCTTGTCATGGCTTGACGGTACCCTTAAACTTCAATGGACCAGAAAATGCAATTGCCCAATTATTGCTCTGACTGAGAGCAGTAAAACTGATGGATGAAATGCTCAGGATTAGCTAAAATGACATACCAAGAACTATGTAGCACTTGTGAATTTTACCTTTTACTGAAATTTTCCTGCAAACCCTCACCATACAAGCTAACTTCCAAGGATCATGTATGTGCTTGCATGTACATATTAATTTTTTCTCTAAACAGTGTCTGAATTATTAATTAGTAAAGACTTTATGGGTAATAGTTATCATGTTATATACCTTTCCTTATACACCTCTGGAGTTTCCACACTTTTTATTTTCCTCTGAAATGCTTTATTGTCAGCCTGATCTTCATACTCCTGTAAGACGGAACAGGCCTTAATTCTTCCATTTTAGAAATAAAAAATGGAAGCACAGCATGATTAGATGAGTAGCTCACAGTCCATACAATAGGTGAAGACAGGACCCAGTGTTCTAATGCATGCTTAGCACAGTGATTAAGAGCATGTGTTAGTCCCAGCTCTGCCACCACCATTGCAAACTTGTCCAAAGTCCCTAATTCTCTCTCTGCTTCCTCATTTATAAAATGGGGTTAATTATAACATGTTTCATAGCAGTATTGTGAAAGTCTCCTCCTTCTTTGTCACATCATCAGCACACAAAAATGGCTAGGTGTCACTAAAACTAAATCCCAGTCTGCAGTACACACCATTCTGTACAGTGGTCAGTATAGTAAATACCAAGTTTTGAAACTTCAGCAAATAAAAAGCATAGTGAAACATCTTTGTCTTATATCTGTCTGCATTGAGCAAAAGGCACTTGTCGTTCACCCAAACTGCTTTTCCCAGCAGGAATGGTTCTGGACAGTCTGTTTCTTCTTTTCTGCTGGAAAAGGTTTTGCTTTTCACACGCCTTTCAGCACAGCACGCAGTGGTGACACTCCAAAGTTGGCCACATTTTCCTTTGACCCCAGAGGAAAAATGAGAACTAGATAAATCTGAGCATGCCTGAGAAGCTGGCAGCCTGAGACTCAAATTGTACTTTCTTTGTACTCCCACCGCTTGCAGCTCTGCCATACTGTTATTTAAAAGGCTTCACACATTTTCCAAGTGAAAGCTGGGATGTTGGGGAACACGTGTGTAGGAGGTAGAAGAATGGTTCTGATGTCTGTTTCCTTGCTGGTACTTGGAGTCAGAGATGAGCTTGCAATGGCTGATTTTTGGTACAGGACAAGTGCGGACCTCTTCCTCAGGATCTTGTTCTCCTTGGATGAGGCTTCTTATGGCAGCAGAGTCAAGTTGTCCAAACATCACCTAGGCTGATGTGCCCAACTGTGTTATGTCTAAAGGGAAAACTTAGAATGTGGAGGCAATTTTAGTGAGATTCCCTGGATCAACAGACAGGAAGATCTTCATACTGAGCAGAAAAGTCATGTCCGATTGGTTGCTTTCACTTTTTGCTTAGCCGCCTATATTTCATTCATTCACTCATTCATTCATTCTTTCATTCGAGTAATATTTTAAAATTAATTTTATTGGTACAATTTAGGTATACAATATAACGACATTCATCATTGGAGATTTGCACCTTTGCATAATAAATCTTGATTCTCATTTCCCCCATTCTGCTGCCCTCCCTTCAACCCCTCCACCCCTCCCTATTTTCAAAGACTTTGTTTCCACTTTTTCCTTTTCTCATATTAATTCAATTCCTCTCTTTCCTTTCCCCTTCTCCTCAAACTTTCCCTTTGAACCTTTTCTTCCTATTTCACGTTATCTATTATACATATCGATCCTTATTTACACTTTCAATTTTTCACACCAGAGAGACTTTGGTATTTACACATGTGTGTCCTATTTATTTCACTTAAGAGTATCACCTCAATGTTCATCCATTTAGCTATAAATACCTCTAATTATTCATTCTTTATGGCTGAGTTGTACTCCATTTCATTAAAAAAAAATCACATCTTCTTTATCCAGTCTCCAGTTGATGGGCACTTGTGCTGCTATGAACATGGGTGCGCATATATTAGTGCGGTATGGTTCTTTTAAT